AGAGAGAGAGAGAGAGAGAGAGAGAGAGAGAGAGAGAGAGAGAGAGAGAGAGAGAGAGAGAGAGAGAGAGACGTTTTCCATTTGAGAAGAGGGACAAACATAAGCAAGCGTTGGTTTGCACATGCAGCACGCAGAGTTGGGCTCGGAGTTGTAAATCCATGGAGCACTGACCAATCAGTAAGAACATTCACTCCATGAACCGTCTGTGTTCCAGTTGGGTCATCATCCAATACAACGAGCACTTGTGGCCACCTTCCACTCCTGAGCATGTGTCGGATTTCAACCGCTGGATCATCGGACCATTGAGATGGCAGCGCCGCAAGAAGATCATCCTTCCTTACTACTGGATATTTCTTGAGGTTAGCAACATCTTGGGAATCTGCACAAGCGTGGAACATCTGAGCGCACCGTGCCTACAGACTAGTGGGTTCATCGTCACACAAACCAAGCTCAAGAGGGAGCAAAGACGCAGATTGTGCAGTACCTTTGCCGGACCAGAGTTGGCTACCGTCTTCACCCGAATAGAACGCCCGGTAATTATCGCCGTATCTGGGATGAAAGTTGTGCCAAATACAGCTATAATGACCAGGCGTTATATTCAGGTGAAGACGGTAGCACAAAGATGTAGCTTCCTAAGTCATGTAGAACAGTCAACCTCAAGTAGTGAACTGAGACGGGCGATTACAGTACGGGAGGATCAACAGGCAAGATCAACTATGAAGACTATAGCAGCTGTGGTCCTGACAAGCTACTCCTCTGATGAAAGTAAGTCATCCCAGCGGCATAGCAACAACTTCGGAAGCAGATTCTCAGTACTACGTAGGGTCCAGCAGACCTTCCATCCAAGATAATACGCCAGCCATTCGAAACCAGCAGACGGAAATCCAGGGAGAAGATGGGAGGGCGTGGCTGTGGATTTTCAAAAGACAATCAATGCCGCTCAGGGGTTCATTCGGCCATAATAGAAGGAAGTGTCGGACTTGTAGTACTGTTTGTGTGATTTGCAGGTGGAAACGGAGCCAGCTTCATGTTTCCCCGAATAGAATGGAGCCGGAACCATAAGGTCCCGTTTTTTTGGGGGGAAGAGAGAGAGAGAGAGAGAGAGAGAGAGAGAGAGAGAGAGAGAGAGAGAGAGAGAGAGGTGCACAGGCTGGATACTGCCTTGAGGTAGGCAGGGGGCCGTAGGGCCCAATTCACGCCCTGTCTGTAAGCCTTCTGTAACCTTTTCTTTTCTTTTCTTCTTTCTTCTTCTTCTTCTTCTTCTTCTTCTTCTTCTTCTTCTTTTGTGTCCGGATTTTTCCGGACGTCGGTCTGGCCGGACGTCATGCTCTGTCAGGGTCCGGGTCCGGGTCTGGGGTAACCATGATTATTATGTGCAGTGAAATGGAAAATAATTCCAGTTTTGCATTATTTATTTAATTTATTTAATATTATTGCAAGGAAAATAAACAATAGCGAAATGACAGATTCCAGATTGCAAAATCACATTGAAAGCCAGGAAGTCCGACACCGTCCAGAAAGCAGAATTGCACCAATATTACACCAAAAATGGAGAACCAAAACACTGAATCCGATTGTGAATGAGAGCATACTCTCGCCATCACCAACATAAGTATCCAGAGCCCTTCGCCTACTTGGCGCTCGGCACCCAGACTACTATCATGCAGCTACTACCAGCCGACAAATTGACAATGGAACTGCTGACACCAGCAGCAGAACCGAAGTACATGAAGATGTCGACCCTTGTAGACTATCGCCAAGACCAGGTACGTGCCCTCACATCATCATCCTCATCTCTCTCTCTCTCTCTCTCTCTCTCTCTCTCTCTCTCTCTCTCTCTCTCTCTCTCTCTCTCTCTCTCTCTCTCTCTCTCTCTTCTTTTCTACCCACGTCTCCTTCCCATACACGAAGACCACCACCACCTGCTGACCATCCAAGCCCGAAGCCCGGCTATGAAGGGCTGGGCTACGGCGCTGCCTTTAGCAGCTCCCTGCACCTCATGACACCCGCGTGCGCCCACGTTCTTGCACTAGTTCAGCTAGCAGCCTACAAGCAGATTGTTACATACTGCATTCTACACGGGCCCTTTCAGGCCCGACGCGACTAGGCTGAGGGGTTCCGAGGGCCTGGACGCGATAATCCAGGCCAAGCCGGCCCAAAGGCCGGACCTTTTTAGGCCGCCCCTTTGGCCTTGCGCAACCAGTTCTAGACCAGGCCCTGCAGCCGCAGGCCCTGGGCGGGAAATGGCCAAACGTTTTCGTTTGGACCAGGCCGCTGTTTACGCAGCCTGTTTTCCCGAAAACCGGTCCGACCTGAACCACGGATCGGACGATAGATCCGACGGTTCAGATCGGAGGCCACCTTGGGAGGCAGAGGCCGAACTGGCTGCCGGCCGGTACTTAGGCCCAGCCAACAGCCATTTGCGGGAGGAGAGTACGGCAGCACTGAGGAGCAAAAACGCTGCATTATTTCTGTTCCAGCGCAGCGTTAGGCCGCAGCACTAGGCGTAGTACTGGCTGTAGAGGTGGTAGGCGGAGTAGAGAGATTTACCTGATGGCCACATCGCAAGCGCCATAGCTCCAGCAGCGCGGGCCGGTCTTCGACAGTGGCAAGGCACCAGCTTGCATCCGCAGGTAGGAGCCTGGGCGCTGACTCGCCATCCCCACCTCTCCTCTGCCCCTCTCGGATCTTCTTCTTCTTCTTCTTCTTCTTCTTCTTCTTCTTCTTCTTCTTCTTCTTCTTCTTCTTCAGACTTCTTCTTCTTCTTCTTCAGACTTCTCCTTCTTCTTCTTCTTCAGACTGGAGACTATTTATACCAGTTGGACAGAGATCAGTGATTGGACTTCGGTGGTAGGAGGATGTGATACTTACCGGATTCGAGACGTTGGAGATAGTTGGGATTGATACCTGGCGGCATCACAGATCGGACATCGGTTACATTAGGATTCTGTACCTCGGACATTGGTGACTTATGTCAACGACGTTCTGAATTTGTTCCGTGACATTGTGGGCTACTATATCGGTGACATTCTGGATTCTATTTCGGTGACATCTGGCGCTGTCCCTATCTCCCACCTCCATCGTCTCTCCTCCTACCATTCATCTGTGTATGGGTGTACGGGGCTGAAGCATCGTCTATGTATGGCTTCAGACCCCACCATCTCACGATTGCTTGTGTGTTGAGTGATGTCTACGTGAGTTCAGTCTATGTGAGTCAGTCCATATCTCATCCTATATTGGTTGATCTTTGGTTCTGCCCATACTTGGTGAAGGTATTCACTAGTATGCAACACAGATGCTCCAGCAGCGCTGCGCCCGCAAATGCAAGTGCCGGACCCTCCTCCCAGGCGCCCGGCCCTTTCCTATATGGAAAGTGGCGGGCGCTTTGCCTTGCCCCCGTCACATGAGACCGAGTTTCCAGTAGCTTCAGTCTCGGCCAAAGTGTCTGCGCCCAGGCCCATTCAGACAGTGGCCTGGGACCGAATTGGTTAGGCATGCCCAACCACCCAGGCACGAACGTGCGATGTCCCCTGCTTTGGCCACGTTGAGAATGGCCTGGAAGGCTCACGAATCTTCCCCATTCTCACGTGCAGGGCGGATGTAACCAACTGGCGCGTGGCAACTGTCTGGCGCTGACCAAGATTTGCAAAAATTGACGAGTTCAGAGGCCCACCTTCACTTAGGGCGGGCACGTGCCTGATGCAGGGCCTTATACGGTTATGCCGAGGGATCAAACTCTCGCATTATTATGCATAGCGAAATGAAAAACAAATGAGACTATTGTGTTTGCTAATGGGACGCTGGAAAGGAGCAGGTTTCTATCTGCGCTTACTGGCCTTTGAGAATTCTCAAAGGCCATTAAGCGCAGATAGAAACCTGCTCCTTTCTAGACTATTGTGTTTACTAATGGGGTAATCATAATTACTAATGGGGTAACTGGTGATCTGACACTCTACACATACATAGGCTCAGAGGAACTCTAGATGAACAAGGCAAGCTTGATAGTCCATGCTCCTGAAAGCTGTGCTTGGATTTCATTCATTCCATTATGTTCAGTCTCAAGTGGGGTGACTTTGATCTCCTGTTCCGTCTCCAGCATGTTTCGCGAGTTTTAGCACTGGGTTGATGAACCTCACTCTTGGAAAGGAGTAGTCCATCCTGCTCCGGGCGTTTCTTCGCCCTGGGCGGAAGGAAACATCTTGGAGTTTGTTCATGATGTAGTTGTCGGATCGCCATGCAGAGAAGGAACTGGACTGTTGCTTCCCAAAAAGGAAAGGAATTCAAACTTCAAAGGACTCAGGACCATTAGGACTAGGAAGATTTTCATGACCGGCCGGTCACCCGGGTGACCAGGTCATGGCAAAAAAAAAAAAAAAAAATTGGCGGTGGGGTTTTTCCGCGCTCTCTGAGAGGAGACCAAATCCGGGCTCTTTTCGTTTTTTGAGTGTTGGCTGTCAAGGGGGGGAAAGGGGAGTGTAAATGAATTTTAAAGGGGCTAAAGGGGTTTAAACTTTAAAGGGGGGTGCCTTAGTGTGATATGGTTATTTTCTATTTTTATCTTTAGTTCTGTGACGAATTCTGATGTGACCCTCAGCCAAAAGTTGTTTGTATTGCAATTCTACACAACATAAACTTTTTTCAGATGTTTCTGGATTTTTTTTAATTTTTTTTATTTATTTTTTTTGCGCTGGGGCTGCCCGGGGCCATGTCGGGGGGTCATGCCCGGCCGGTCATCCAGTTGCCAATCCGGGCGTGAATCGGGACCCAGACGCCCGGGATATCTCCCTAGCATAAGGACCTTTTTTTCTTTTTTTTAATACCTGTGTCGACTTGGATTGCATGCGTGAATCTCACCTCTAGGGTGAACCCCATAACCATGACAGAATAATTGTTGAGGAGCATCAAGAATCCAAAGAAGAAGAAGAAAGAAATGAACTTTGAGAATGACCTCTAGTTCTGTGCAATTGCTAAGATGATGACATGTCTCACATTCACTTAAATTAGCCTTTTAGAAAATCAATTCGAACAGCCGCAAGTTGAAGTCAAAATTGGCACACGTAACAGTCGGCGCACTTCACAGCCATTTGCCACCATAAGCACTTACCCTTCTGGGAAGACCTTGTGGACGGAACGAGAACGCTAGAAGGAAAGTCACTGATGGAAAAAGATAGGGTGGATCGTAACCCAGAAGGGTCGCTGATGGAAGAAGATAGGGTGGATCGTGACCCCAATGTCTCGCTCATGGAAGAAGCTCGGGTAGATCGTGACCCGGAAGTGTCGCTCGTGGAAGAAGATAGGGTGGATTGTGACCCAGGAGATACGGTGGATCGTGGTGTGGAAGATAGGGTGGATCGTGGTGCTGCAACTCCCACTCCTGTTAATTTTTCAAACACCTGCAGCGAACAAAAGAAGTGGGAATTCAAATAGCCAAGAGTTATATTGACAAACATAAAAAGCAATGTGTAATTGTCTCCTATTTTCCTAGTAATTTCTATGAACTTAGTGTCCCTGGGATCTGATTTAAGAAGGCCTAGAATAAGAAAACTATTCAACTCCACTGCAGACTGTAGCTTGGGCAATGATCAGTGGCAGTAACCAAAGGTAGTCGGAGTCCAATGAGAGACAAAGTGTTCAACCAATGATGGTATTCTGAAATAAAAGAAGAGAAGAGAAGAGAAGAGAAGAGAAGAGAAGAGAAGAGAGAAGAGAAGAGAAGAGAAGAGAAGAGACGAGACGAGAGAAGAGAAGAGAGAAGAGAAGAGAGAAGAGAAGAGAAGAGAAGAGAAGAGAAGAGAAGAGAAGAGAAGAAGAAGAGAAGAAGAAGAGAAGAGAAGAGATGAGAAGAAGAAGAGAAGAGAAGAGATGAAAAGAGATGCAAAGAGAAGAGAAGAGAAGAGAAGAGAAGAGAAGAGAAGAGAAGAGAAGAGAAGAGAAGAGAAGAGAAGAGAAGAGAAGGGAAGAGACTCAACGAGACGAGGTGAGAAGAGAAGAGAAGAGAAGAGAAGAGAAGAGAAGAGAAGAGAAGAGACGAGAAGAGATGAGACGAGAAGAGATGAGACGAGGAGAGGAGAGGAGAGGAGAGGAGAGGAGAGGAGAGGAGAGGAGAGGAGAGGAGAGAAGGGAAGGGAAGGGAACGGAACGGATTCGAAGAGAAGAGAAGAGAAGAGAAGAGAAGAGAAGAGAAGGGTGATAGAACAGAGGCCAAAACTGCTCTTCATACATGCTTCCAAAGAACAAGCATTAGACTCCACATGCACTATACTCAGAAGATGTGGATGTCGACAGTCAATGCCTGACGCCTCTTTTCGGCCAGGTAGATGCGAGAAGAGAAGAGAAGATGCGACAAGATACACGATGAGATGGAAAAAGAAGAGAAGAGAAAAGAAGATGCAATCAAGCACAAATTCCAAACACACCGTGTGAGGCTTTACACTCGCGGGGGACACTATGTGCACAACACTCACGGAGTCCATCACTGCCCTTCTGCCCTGTCCACTTAATAGAGAATAGAGGAGACGAGAAAAAGAAAAAGGCAAGATCCATCATATGATAAATAAAGTGCAAGCTCCGCCAGGACACACCAGTCCCCATTCACTTTCATGCTCAGAGAAAAGAAGAACTGACATTTCGTTAAAAATGACAATTTTTAATTGCACGAAATTAAATGTCCAATTGTTTATTTTTATTATTATTATTATTATTATTATTATTATTATTTTTTGAACACATACTACTGCCTGTGTATCTTTTTAACGGAGGGCCCCCGAGCCCCGTTAAATCGCGTTAAACGCAAAACGGGGGTGTCGCGTCGAATTCCGAAAAACGGAATTCGCGCGTTGGGCTTCGGACACGTGTACCTACGTGCCCGAACAC